TTCTGAAGAGCTGAAATAACCCTATTATTGACAGGAATAGCCCTTGTTAAATACCTTGTATTGACAATAGAGAAGAGTACTTAGGAAACAGTTTCTAAATAGCTTTTTTGTTGTTTGCTTTTTTAACAATGTAAAAAGATTAAAATTTAAATTGTGTCTTTCCAAAACAGAGGACTTCTCAGATTATGTAAGTAAGCAGCTAAACAGAAACTTAATTTCTAATTTAAAATGTGGTTAGTGGCCAGTAAAGTCATGTTTAAAATGGAAAGATAGTTTTCCTAATGTCCATCAAAGAAGATGACTTATTTTGTTCTTCAGTTTGACCCCATCTGACCAAGTGCTCAGAATTTTTCAATATGAGCCATACTGTATACCATTTACAAGAAAAAGGAATACAAATTAGCCTGGTGAGCAGCAAAATAGGCAATTTTTTGAAACCTGATTTGTGTTAACCTGCAATCAAATGTAATTTCCATTTTAATACTTATACATTCTTATATTGTTATGAACCTATTCTTAACACGGGTTTTATTTTCTTTGTTTCTCTCCTCCCTCACTTCTGTGAAATGCAGAAGGGAAAGGATGTTTGTTATTCACACATTTGTACCCCTACTAACTGGTGTTACAGTACATCTGGCTTCCACTGGAGAGCCCCTGACATCGCAGGGAACGGTGATCAAAATTCCACACACTAGCTTCAAGCTGGGGGCTCGTAGCTACTGCAGCATTGAAAGGGAATCTTTTCCTGGCTTCTTTAAAATAAGCATGGTGATGGGATGGTTTAAGGGAAGAACACCTCTCAAATCACATGACCACTGCTATGCTTTCGTGTGTCCTGCTTTCTTCATAACAGCTTGGCACTACATTCTTTCCCCTGTATCTTAGTGGGCTTGTGTGTGTACAAGTTGGGTGGAGGGTGGGGAGGTAAATGGATGGTTATACATTATGCATGCATCTTTCACTGTTAAAGCAATGTGCCTTCCCTTATATGTCACGAATTATGGTCACAGATTAAATCTTCTGTGTCCTGAGAGATTGGGCCATCTCTCTCTTTTTGGTGTGAGATTCATGTGTTTGGGTGTGTTTTGATGTTTACACCCTCAATTGTTCTTCATGTTGCATTTAACGTAAGTTGAAATGTTCTTCCATAAGAGTTAGCTTTTCATGTTGGGCTGAAAAAGTCTTCATTTCTGTGTAGCAATTCATGTTATTATAACCTATGGCTTTCAATTGTACCTCCCATAATGAAGAGCTGACTTTAAACACTGTGCTATTCTTGTTATGACCTAAGCATAAGGTAAGTGATTTCTCTAACTGTATCTAAAGATTCTTGTTGTTTGTTAAAATTTCCTCAGCTTTTTTTAAGGCATTTTCACTTTTGTTCCTAACATTTATTATGTGCTCTCCCTTCTGTTTTTCTGTTTCATATTTTAAGATTTCCTAATGAATGATGTGATCTTCAGCAAAAATTATATTACACATGTAAACACATGTTGAAATGAGTTATTTGATGTCTCAAACAATCTTGATTAGTAAATGAATACCGTATGTTTTCATTCAGTCCCTCATGTTTTTTATTTTCTCCATTGATTTTAATATAATATGCTGTTTCTACATGTTATTTTAGTTTTGATTCCAGTTGAAAGGGGAACTGTCAATACTGTAAAGTCAGATGTTAACTGAAGTAAAATAACATGATCCAATAGAATAAAGTAGAAGGTAATCAGATGCCTTACCTTTTATTTCTAATCCCTGACAAATTTAATGTTAGGCCAAAATCTGTTTTATTTTGCTTTCCAGGCTTTCCTTTTTTTCCCATTGAGTAAAGCCAGGGTAACAGAAGAAAAAAACAAGAAGCCATAAAACTTGAGACAGATCTGTGTTACCTTCTTTATAGTCCATATGTATAAGAACAATAGTTGTTTCTCAAGTTTATCGTTTCAAGTGTATGCCATTAAATTGTGAGTTAAGTAAAATTTTCATTTTGAAATTGTATAAAATTAAGTACATATTATAAAGAGGACTAGTTTCATGGTACAAGAGAAAAAGTTATTTGCTACATGCATAAATAATAAACAACATTTTTAAATTTTTGTTTTCTTCAGTGGTGTATAGATTGATTGACTGATTGATTTATACACACACACATACTCAAGATCCCTAAAGAAATTCTTATTATCATTGATATGAAAGTGATTCTCCCCAAATCTGGTTCAAATAGCCAATGTAATATAAATGGGAAAGTATTTATTATACTGCTGTTGGCAATTTATGAACCTTGATAAACGCTCAGAGTCAGGGAATTGAACTGTTTTCGTCATCCAAATTTCTCCACCAAAGGTGTTTGAAATATATAGTTCTAAACTGAGGTGCCACAAAGCAACACTTGGGTTTCTTTATTCAATTCATGTTATGAATGATTTTTGTTATTAATTTTTTAAGTTACCTAGGGAATGGGAGAGGGTATTTTGTTGTTGTTTTGGTTTGGTTTGGGTTTTTTTGGTAAAACCAACTAGTTCTTCACCACCATTTCCATTATATACATTAGAAAATGTATATAAGAGGCATTATATAAATCTGTTGAACATTTTATGAGACAATTTGAACTACTCATCTGAACTGCTCTGTTCATTGTAAATCTCTTGTTTCTATCCATACACTAGCTCCACTCTAGATTGGAAGGGCTTAAAGATGAACTCTGGAGGAATAGAGGCTACGACTTAAGAGTAACTATTACTGATCAAAGGAGCCACTTTCCATTCGCAAACATTGCTTTGCGCTATGGGTTTGGGCTCCTTCTGTTTCTACATCTTGTTGAAGACTTTCTTGACTTCCATTTGACTTCTTTGAACTCTGTTTTTGTCTTTTAACATTTCCCCCTTTCTTTTCCTTCTCTCTACCAGATTTTTCTCTCACTCTTCTAGCTTTCTCTTGTGTTCTTTGAATCACTTTTTAAAATGTAGTTTCTCTCTTTATTAAGCTTGTCTATTGTCTGTTAGTGTGTGTTTCTTTTCTTCTTTAAGGCTGTAGTGGTATAGTTACACTTACGTTCATTCCATAGTATAGCAACTTGCTTATTTATTTTGCAGCAAGTTCATTTGTCATTCTTACCCTCTTGGTATGAATTTTTAATGAGTAATAGCAGAACATTCTGCATTTACATATTGTCCCCTTCTGTAATTCCATACTTTATTTTCCATTGTCTATATTTACACCCTCAAACCTCTCTCTCACTTTTCTTTTCCTCATTCTTGCATCTTCTTCCCTGTGTTATTTTCTTTAAGCAGTCATTGATTTCTTTCCCATTTGGTCCAGAATTGTTCTTAAATAAGACCTCTGAGTAAAAGAATATAAGAATATTATCTTCAGATTAGCTTTTTCCTTCTAGTATGTTTAAAACTAGTTGAACAATCTGGGCCAAAAGAGAACAACTAACATTTGGAATATTTTTTCCTTTTTTTTTTTTTTTTTTGGTGTGT